CTCAGCCAGGAAGGGAGAGAGAGAGAAACATCCATGATGAGAGAGAACCACGGACCGGCCGCCTCCTGCTCGCCCCCTACTGGGGATCCAGCCCGCAATCCGGGCCTGTGCCCCAACCGGGACCCCCTGGTTCCTAGGAGCCACCCGGCCGATGGTGGGGGGGTGTCTCATGGGATCGGGGCCTTCTCTACCAGAGCCAGGACCGGAAGCTGCAGTTCATGAGGGCCATGCACAGCCTCAGCCAGCTGACCGCCCGCCAGGTGGCCACGGCCTTCGACCTGTCTCGGTTCACCTCTGCCTGCGACCTGGGAGGTGCGTAGTAGATCAGAACCGGCCCACAGCCGGCCGGCGCCCCGGCCTCCACTTCCTTCCTTCCGTGTTCGTTCTCTACCAGAGCCAGGACCGGAAGCTGCAGTTCATGAGGGCCATGCACAGCCTCAGCCAGCTGACCGCCCGCCAGGTGGCCACGGCCTTCGACCTGTCTCGGTTCACCTCTGCCTGCGACCTGGGAGGTGCGTAGTAGATCAGAACCGGCCCACAGCCGGCCGGCGCCCCGGCCTCCACTTCCTTCCTTCCGTGTTCGTTCTAAACCTGTTCATGTTGGTCTCAGCCAGGAAGGGAGAGAGAGAGAAACATCCATGATGAGAGAGAACCATGGACCGGCCGCCTCCTGCTCGCCCCCTACTGGGGATCCAGCCCGCAATCCGGGCCTGTGCCCCAACCGGGACTCGAACCCGGGACCCCCTGGTTCCTAGGAGCCACCCGGCCGATGGTGGGGGGGTGTCTCATGGGAGCGGGGCCCCAAGACGACTCCTGAGCGGCCACCTTACATTCTCTCTCTTTTTTTGAGCATTTTTATGAGTTTATTTGACCCAAACTGACAACACAGGCTGGGGGGGGCCAGACCTCCATTGCCCGCCCCCCCAACTTCCATTTCCCCTCCTCCGCACGCACCCTGTTCGGTGGCCCAGAGCGGCTGCTGTGGCACGGCCGTCGCGTCTGCATCCCACGGCAGGAGGAGAAGGGAAGGCGACGGCCCCCACAGCTCTGCCCTGAGGACTCCCCCGGGCGCCCGTGCCCACCCCCCACCCGCCCCCGGGTCACTCGCCAGCTGGCATTGCTTTTTCCGTCGCTCACGGCACCGGCCTCGACTGCGGTTCAGAGCATGGGTTTGGCCGAGGCCGGACTTGGGAGCCTCACCGTGGGAGCCGGTGCCAGGAGGGTCCGGTCGGTGACAGAGCATGTGTGTGTGTGTGTGTGTGTGTGTGTGTGTGTGTGTGTCCGTCCCGCAGGCTGCACGGGAATCCTCGCCCACGAGCTTGCCCGAGCCTACCCCGGCCTGAAGGTGACCGTGTTCGACCTCCCGGAGGTCATCGAGGACGTCTCGGGTTTCCAGCCTGACCGCGCACGGCCTCAGCAGGTCAGCTTCGTGCCAGGTAAGGTCCCGCGGCCTCACACCGGCTCAGCCCTGGGCCGACCGCGGGCACTGAGTGTGTCTGTGTGTGTGTCTGTGTGAGTCAGTCTCTGTGTCTGCAGGAGTGTGTGCAGGTGTGTCTGCCTGTGTCTCTGTGAGCATGTGGCATGCACTCCCCCATCTGTACACGGTCCCTCCGTGTCCATGAGCGAGGGGTTCCACGACCCCCTCAGGTGCCACAATCCTCGGAGCTTGGGTCCCTCATGTAAAGCGCCCTCGCATTCGCACATAACCGCCCACACCCTCCCGTGGACTGGAAAACAGTGCTATGCTGTGCAGACTGCCTTCCTGGCCTGACCGCCTGGTAACAATGTAACACTTGCTAACTCCGTGGCCGACCACATGGTAACAATGTAACACTTGCTAATTCCGTGGCCGACCACATGGTGACAATGTAACACTTGCTAATTCTGTGGTCGACCACATGGTGACAATGTAACACTTGCTAATTCTGTGGTCGACCACATGGTGACAATGTAACACTTGCTAATTCTGTGGTCGACCACATGGTGACAATGTAACACTTGCTAATTCTGTGGTCGACCACATGGTGACAATGTAACACTTGCTAATTCTGTGGTCGACCACATGGTGACAATGTAACACTTGCTAATTCTGTGGTCGACCACATGGTGACAATGTAACACTTGCTAATTCTGTGGTCGACCACATGGTGACAATGTAACACTTGCTAATTCTGTGGTCGACCACATGGTGACAATGTAACACTTGCTAATTCTGTGGTCGACCACATGGTGACAATGTAACACTTGCTAATTCTGTGGTCGACCACATGGTGACAATGTAACACTTGCTAATTCTGTGGTCGACCACATGGTAACAATGTAACACTTGCTAATTCTGTGGTCGACCACATGGTAACAATGTAACACTTGCTAATTCTGTGGTCGACCACATGGTGACAATGTAACACTTGCTAATTCTGTGGTCGACCACATGGTGACAATGTAACACTTGCTAATTCCGTGGCCCGACCACATGGTAACAATGTAACACTTGCTGACACCATGGCAACCGTGTAACTTTGTCAAGTAGGTTTTCCGGGTATTGGTTTTGTCTGGCCAGGAAAACAAACCACACAAAACCACGCAACTGGGCGCCTTAAAACCACAGACATTCATGCTCTCTCTGTCCTGGCGATCAGGCGTCTGAGGTCCAGGGGTCCCAGGGCCGATCCTTCCGGAGGCACCAGGGAGGGTCCCCCCTGCCTCCCCCAGCTCCTGGGGCTCCAGGCCTCCCCGGCTGGTGGCCGCCTCCCTCCTGCCTCTGCCTCCCTCCGTCTCCAAGTGGCTGCTCCCCTGTGTCTGCGTCTCCTCTTCTGTGTCTGACAAGGACACTGACCCTGGAGGGAGCCCCCCCCCGACCCAGGACGGCCTCGTCTCCGAGCCTTCCCTCCATCCCGTCTGCAAAGGCCCTGGTTCTGTTCCCAGGTCCAGGGTTAGGACGTGGACACGGCTTTTGGGGGCGGCAAACCCCACTATAAGCAGCCCCCCTTTTGCATCTCAATCCCCAGGGTGCTGCCTGGGTCCCTGACGGACTGGTCCCTGCATTTTGTCTTGAAACCAGGCGACTTTTTCCAAGACAGCCTCCCGGAGGCCGACCTCTACATCCTCTCCAGAATCCTCCGCGATTGGCCGGACGACAAGGCCCACGCGTTGCTGAGCCGGATCTCCGGCCACTGCAAACCAGGTGAGACGGCGCCCACACTTCCTTTCCTTAAAACCGTTGTCTTGTCTCTTTCTTATAATAGATTTTTATTGATGTCAGAGAGGAAGGGAGAGGGAGAGGGAGAAGCATCCATGATGAGAGAATCACGGACCGGCTGCCTCCTGCTCGCCCCCCACTGGGGATGGAACCCGCAACCCGGGCCTGTGCCCTTGACGGGGAATCGAACCGTGACCTCCTGGTTCCTAGGTCGACGCTCAACCACACACACACACACACACACACACACACACACTGCTCAGAGCTCTCACTGACTCCCCACATCCTCAGAGCACGGGAAGCACACAAACACGCACACGTGCACACACTCACACAGAGACACACAGAGAAACACACACGTACATTCGCTGCTCAGTCATACTGAGTCCCCACCCTCAGTGCACAGGAGGCAGACACACACACGTGCACACACTTATACACACTCACACTGTACTTCTTGGAGCCTTCGCACCAAGTCCCTCCATCATCGGTGCTCAGGAGGCACACACACACACGCTCGCACGAACACGTGCACACACACTCGCACGAACACACTCGCACACTCGCATGCACACACTCGCATACACTCGCACGAACACACTCGCACACTTGCACGCACACTCTCACGCACACTCGCACACACTGCACTCGCACGCACACTCGTGCACACTCACTGCACTCACATGCACGCACACTCACACTCGCACAAACACACCCGCATACACACACACACACCTGCATACACACTTGTGCAAACACTCGCACACACTGCACTCACGCACACACATCCTCGCACGCACACACTCGCGCACACTGCACTCGCACACACACTCGCATGCACACTCGCGCACACACTGCACTCGCGCACTCGCACATACTCGCATGCACTCACACACACTCGAATGCCCACTCGCACACACTGCACTCGCACACACCTGCATTCACACTCGCGCACACTCGCACACACACACTGCACTTGCACACACTCACGCTCTCGCACACACTGCACTTGCACACACCCGCATACACACACCCGCATACATACGTGCACACACACTCGCACACACTGCACTCACACGCACACACTCGCACAAACACACCCGCATACACACACACTGCACTTGCACGCACACTCGCATGCACACACTCGCGCACACTGCACTCGCACAAACACACCCGCATACACACTCGCACATACACTCACACGCACACACTCGTACACACTCGCACGCACACACTTGCATGCACACACTCGCACGCACACACTCGCACACAATCACACACACTGCACTCGCACACTCACACGCACACACTCGCACACACTGCACTCGCACAAAGACACCCGCATGCACACAATCGCGCACACTCGCACACACTGCACTCGCACCCACTGCACTCCTCGGAGCTGGCGCTCCCTCCCCTCCAGCTCACCCTCCTGTGCCCCGTGGGGGGCTGGTGCTCACCTGCTCCCAGCAGTTGGGGCCCAGGTTTCCCGCCCCCGCCCCCCCCTCCATGAGGCTCACTGAGGCTCCTCCCTACAGTGGGAATCCCTGTTCCCCACACAGTGAACCCCCTTGGGGAGCCCTTACAGGAACCCGTGGAGGGAGGACCAGGCACCCCCACGCCCTGCTTCTGGGATTTCTGCCTCTTCACCCCCCATTTCTCTGTCTTCCTGCTCACTGTGTCTGTCCGTCCCTCAGTCCCTCTCTCCCTCCCTCCCCCCCTCCGTCTCCTGGTCCTCCAGCCCGGCCAGCACTGTCCGCAGCCTGTCCCCTGTGCTTCCAACCTCGGTCCCCGGTC